TCTCTATACATACCGCCGCAACACCGCCTGGAAAAACATGATTTTCACTCTTTAATAGCCGAGTTACCAGAACCTTATCTGGTTCTAGGGGACCTGAATGCGCACAGCGGTTTATGGGGTGACTGTCGATGTGATGCACGAGGTCGTCTCATCGAACAGTTCCTCTTTTCATCAGGTGCTTGTCTGTTGAATAGAAAACAGGCAACATATTATAACGTTGCAAACAATACTTACTCCTCCATAGACCTCAGTATCGCATCTCCTTCACTTGTACCATTACTTCAGTGGAAAGTCATAAATAACCCATACGGAAGTGACCATTTTCCTTTGGTTTTGAGTACACCAATAATACATAAATGTCCTCCACATGTTCCCAAATGGCTAGTAAATAAAGCCGACTGGGAACAATTTCAAAAGCTTACTCACTTAAATTGGACTGACATATGCGGATTAGGCATAGATGAAGCTGTGAAGTACTTCACAGCTTTTCTAACTGACGTAGCAGCCAGGTGCATACCACAAACATCTGGAATGCCCGGCAAACGACACGTCCCATGGTGGAACACGGAGTGTCGTAATGCGCGAAAGGAACAGAACAGGGCATGGAGATTGCTGCGCAACTCGCCAACAGCGGAAAATCTTGACACGTTCAAGAAAATAAAGTCTCAAGGAAGGAGAACGCGTCGGCAGGCCAGAAGAGAAAGCTGGCAGAAGTTTTTGTCAGGAATCAATACATACACACAGGAGGCAAAAGTCTGGAACATGGTCGGTAGGATAGCAGGGAAACAAGTACACACACTTCCACTCGTAAACACTCAAGGTGATACCTTGGAAGATCAGGCAAACTTCCTCGGGGCACACTTTGAACGGGTATCCAGCTCGTCCCACTATACTGACACTTTCCAAAAATACAGAACAAGAATAGAAAAGCAGAAACTAGAACATAAATCCACTAGATACGAGGCATATAATCAAGCTTTCACTCTAGCGGAGCTCCGAACATCTCTAAACTCCTGCAGCACTTCTGCCCCAGGTTCTGACCGTGTGGTGTATGAAATGCTAAAAAACCTACCAGCTGAAACACGAAAAACTTTACTTTGTTTGTACAATACTATCTGGTTTTCTGGCACTATCTCTACCTCCTGGAAAGAGGCTATTATTATTCCCATTTTGAAAGAGGGCAAGGACCCTTCTTTAGCTTCAAGTTATAGGCCTATTGCACTTACAAGCTGCTTGTGCAAAGTATTCGAAAAAATGATAAACTGCCGACTTGTACATATCCTTGAAACAAACAATTTGCTCGACCCATTTCAGTGCGGGTTTCGAGAAAGTAGATCCACCACAGACCACCTTGTTCGTATCGAGGCACAGATCAGGGACGCCTTTGTCCATAAACAATATTTTCTCTCTGTGTTCCTCGATATCGAAAAGGCGTATGATACAACATGGCGTTTCGGAATTCTAAGAGACCTGTCCCACCTTGGTGTACGCGGAAGAATGTTCCATATAATCGAAAGTTACCTGTCAAACCGGACATTCCGTGTCCGTCTGGGCAGTGTGCTCTCTCAAACATTTGTCCAGGAAACAGGCGTGCCACAAGGTGGCGTGCTTAGTTGCACACTTTTTATTATCAAAATGAATTCTTTGCACTTGTCCATTCCCCGCAATATGTTCTATTGTACATATGTCGACGACGTTCAGCTTGGCTTCAAGTCATGCAACTTGGCCATGTGTGAGCGGCAGGTTCAGCTGGGCTTAAATAAGGTCTCCAAATGGGCAGATGAAAACGGATTTCGACTTAACCCACAAAAAAGCACGTGTGTCTTGTTCTCTCGAAAGAGAGGCATGCACTCGGAACCTGACATTCGACTGAATGGGCAACGTCTGTCCGTCAAAGCCGAGCATAAATTCTTAGGCTTAATCTTGGACAACAAGTTGACCTTCGTACCGTACATCAAGTATTTAAAAACGAAATGTTTAAAAGCCATGAATGTTATAAAAGTGTTGTCACGTACTACGTGGGGTAGTGATAGGCAATGCCTCATGAACCTCTATAAAAGCCTCATCCGCACCCGCTTAGAATATGGGGCCGTTGTCTATCAGTCTGCCACTCAAAGTGCCTTGAAGATGCTTGACCCCGTGCACCATTTGGGCATCCGCCTTTCTACGGGTGCTTTCCGCACCAGCCCCGTAGAAAGCCTTTATGTTGAGTCAAATGAGTGGTCGCTTCATCTGCAGAGAACTTACATGTCCTTTGTTTATTTCCTTAAGGTGAAAGCAGACAAGAAGCACCCCTCATACTCTACAATTAATGATTTGTCGAGCTCAACTCTGTTTCAAAACAGGCCTTCGATGAGGCAGCCCTTCTCAATTCGCCTGAAGTGTCTAGCTGAAGAAACTGAAGTGTCACTTGAACACAGTTTAATGGCTCCTGTAGCATACCCGCCACCATGGCAGTGGCAGAATATAGACTGCGATGTGTCTTTCCTAGGGGTTACAAAACATGCACCTATTGCCCATATCCGAACATACTTTCTGGAACTTCAACACAAATACACATGTCCTGAGTTCTTCACAGATGCCTCCAAGACTAACTCCTCTGTGTCCTACGCTGCTGTCGGCCCGTCCTTTTCGGATGCTGGCCCTCTACATCCACGCACAAGTATCTTCACAGCGGAAGCTTACGCGATACTGGTGGCAGCTAAACACATCAAACAATTACAAATACAAAAAGCAGTAATTTATACAGACTCCCTCAGTGTGGTAACGGCTCTGCACAGTCTTAAAAAACACAAAAACCCAGTCCTTGTCTCACTTTACTCCATTTTGTGCACACTTTACACGCAGAAACAACATGTTGTAGTGTGCTGGGTGCCAGGGCACCGTGAGATCCAAGGCAACGTGAGGGCGGATCAGCTCGCTGCATCCGTCCATGAGAGCACCGCCATTACATCCATATCAATCCCGGCCTTTGATCTTAAGCCGTCTCTCAAACTAAACCTCAGGGACTACTGGCAGAGCAAGTGGGATACACACACACAAAACAAACTACACGTTATCAAGCCACACCTTGGCCATTGGCCACCAGTATCAAAATCACGTCTAACAGAGGTAACACTAACAAGACTCAGGATAGGGCACACATACACGACACACACACATCTTTTATCCGGTGGTGATCCACCATTGTGTGATAAATGTGGTGAGGCTTTAACAGTTCTTCACGTTTTAATCCAATGTAAACTGTTAGACACTCTAAGAAGACAACACTTCCCATTACCCTACCGACAACGTGTACCTTTACACCCTGCAATGTTTGTCGGTAGGGAACCACTTTTCACCCATAAATCATTGTTAGCTTTTTTAAGAGATGTTAATTTTTACCATGTATTATACCGAGGCATTGCGTAGCGTGACCTCTCAAGAGAGGTCGCTGCTGCTGTGATTACATTTAAAAGCACTTGCCTCGCAGCCCTTGGACACAAGGGCACTGATGAGGCAAGTGTGCTAGTGCCAAATATTTTTACGTTTTTATTATCAAAACCTTTGTCACCCTTTTTAATATGCATATCACGCCAATGTCATGTCTTTAATACTTATGTTTTTACCCGCATTATCGCGAGGAATTTTAAGGCCCCTATACAGCCACACAACATATCATTGTCTGCATCTCTATACTCATTGAAATGGCGCTCTTTGGCCATCAATTGGCCCTTGCGCCATAAAACACCACACATCATCATCATCATCAACAAGCTGCTACAGGCAGGAACCCGGCAAGCATGAGCCACACACGGACGTCAACGTGTTTTTTCATGCTGGCACAGAGCTGGCGCCACTACGCTTCGGTACAATATATATATATATATATATATATATACACACACATATATATATATATATATATATATATATATATATATATATATATATATACATACACATATATATATATACACATATATAATCATGTAGGTTAGTTAAGCCATGACAGATAGGCCTATTTTTTTTCCTTAACATGTGGTATATATTATTGAGAACATTTCAGTGTGCATACAATAGATAAAAAAAAAATGAAAGGTACGAAGACAAGTTCACGCTCATTTCACTTCTCCCCCTTAACTTTTTTGTCTATTGTGCACGTGCCAAAATGTTTCCAATAATGTCTTGAAATGTACTCGCCCAGCTTTCTGATATATGCTACTCGAGTTTGATTTCATATTACTCAACCAAAATGACTATTCCCATTGAACCTAAAATTCACTGTTCGCTCAAGCTACAGTTTCACATTTCATAACACTGTACTATGGGGGTAGCTCAGGTAATTTTTTACGACACTCTAGATAGTTTGTATGGGATGATAAATAAGACTGATATAGGCTAATCAGTATTGCAATACAGTATTGGTGCTTTCTACTCCAAGTGCTCGGCCAGTGCACACATGTTTTATCCTGAAAAGTACAACTTTTAGCAAAGCAGGTGTTATATGAGTAGATTAGACATGTACCATTTGCTTTAGCTGTTGTAATTCAGGTGTATTGCTGCATAAGTTGCTTATAATGGTGTCGAATTCAGAATCGAACAGAAAAATAAGCATAGAAGTTTGAAGCAAACGCTTTTTAGCGCACTTAAAACAAACGCAGAAGAACTAGGAAGTAGACTGGACGCCACTTCGGTCCTCATTTTACAAGCGTCTAAAGGTGTTTTGCTTTAAAAAACATGGATGTTCACCAACTAGCCCATCTCACCGTCTTGTAACACGGCATGCTTTGAGAACTGCTGGAAGAAGAACATGGGAACGTAATGAATTTGTACACATTATGTGGAACTTGACAGCATTCTTATTTTTTTTTTATGTTTAGGGTGTCATAGCCCCTCGAATTTGGATGTGCAATGTCAGTGGAAGATATTGCATTCTTTTGAACTTTTGAGTGTTGGATACGTCGTCTTGCAAGTCTTCGCTGCTGCCCGATGTATGCTACTTTGTTGTTCGAATGCAGGTGCACGCAAAACACGAGGAGAAGTCTGAGAATCGATCTGTGTATCGGGAGTACAACCGGGAGTTCCTTCTGCCCAAGGGCACCAACCCTGAGCAGATCAAGTCGCAACTGTCCAAGGATGGCGTGCTCACAATAGAGGCCCCGCTGCCCGCTCTCGAGGCGCCCAACAAGGAGCGCAACATCCCCATCGACAAGAAGTAGAGTGCCTCTCTCTCTCTCTCATTTCTCGACCTTTTGTTTCCCGTTTTTGATGAGGCATGTTCACGGAATTGGGCCTGCCTAAAGCTTACATGTGCCTCATGAAGTCAGTGCAGAGACAGTGAGAGTTGGTGCAGTTGTGACTGGGGACTTTGCAGAATTGTTGGCCCTTGCGTTTGGGGGCTCCCTCTGTGGGCAGCTCCCTATATCTGATAGTTTCAAAAAAAAAAAAGTATCAGTATACGCTTCCATTTCAGCACACAGATTGGTTCTAGAGTAGGCCTTCAACAGTACAAAGATAAAGCCCCGGCCACTGAATAACGCATTTTGAACTAGTTGGTTGTTCATACTGAAGCCAAAACAGCACCCACTGACGAGGATAAATCGAAGAAGAAGCGCCTGTGTGTTGTGTTTCTTCGGTCCATCCTTGTCTGCAGGCACTGTTTTCGCCCCGGCCACTGAAATTCATCTCGCAACAGAGGTGCATGTTTGAGGAAGGTGATATTTTTTGCTTGCTTTGGAAATTTGAAAGCTGTAGAATAGGGCAAATACTTTTCTTCTTCTATAGCTACAAGTAAAATTTTGTTGCCTTTGTACTCAACAGCATCTGTATATATATGAATAGTTTAATGGATGAATAATTGAATATACAACATTGAACATGTACAACATAGAATGTACAACATGTACATAGAAGTTCCTCATGTAAATTGTGAGGCTTCTTCTGGCCCAAATATGATAAGTAGATCTGCAGTTTACTTTCTCATTTTCTGAGATAGCAAGATACTTTCCTGCATGAAGCTCCTGTGTGTTCTGTAAGACGAGGGTTATTTCAAGCTAGGCATCAGTGTTGCATGTGTGTACAACGAGAGAAGTTAGATTTGTAATATTTAAATTGTTTTTATGACATAAGAACTTTGTGTATGAAAGTTCTTATGTCAAGACACATAGATATTGCACGTTTTGCTGGACCCCACACTTATGCATCGTAACTGTCTCTGCACTGTTCCAATTTATTTATTTTAGATATTATTTACTTTAGATATCCACCCTTTGTGCAGTGTTTAGCACTGTCAATCAAGGTGTGACAGGTTCTGCTCGAGACGGTGTGAAATGACATACTATATGTTGATGTCTCAGTTTTATAGTTTGTTTTCCTCATGCATTGTCCAACAGAAATGTTTGGAGCTGCATTGTCAGTGATGAACAGAGTTCACTGGGCTTGCCTATCAATTCGGCATCAGTCTCAAACAAGTGCTTGAACAGAGCACGTCAACAAAGCTTTGTGCTGCTTTAAGCGTCTTTACTACTGGAATAGTTTGGTATAGTAAGTTCAACATGCCATGTCTGCAGATGATGTGGCAACGCATTTCTGGCCATTCTGACTATGAGCAGTCGTCCAAGTGTCACTGGTTGTACCCTTGTGTGTTGCAGACGGCCTTAGCTAGCGTTCACTGCACTTGTTAACCAGCTTTTATTACAGATGGCTTGCACTGAGATCATCACGACTACCACGTCTGAGTATTACTGGAATGGTAGAAGGCTGCCTACGCTTATTTTTGCTGCTGAAACTAAGCTTTCAGCTTATTTTGAGCAGCACATCCCACGCTGTGATGACAACTCGTAAGCACACTCTCTGTGATGTTTCATGGCAAGCTGTCTGTGGTTGGCACGAATCTCTCTCTCATCACTGGCAACTTCCAAAGCCTTTCAATGTGCAGCTACATGACTCAGTTTTCAAAGAGGGTAGTATTCTTCCCTTTTATTTCTGTAAGTAATGTGGAACCTTTCGACCTGGTGTGTGTTTTTTTTTTCTCATTTGAGAAATAAAATGAAGGTAGCAGGGGGTCACTTATTTTAGTTAAAAAAGCCTCTCACACAGGTTATGGGAATTTCTATTTTTTTATTGTTAAAGGTAATAGGCCAGTGCAGTTTTATTGGTTTAGGTACCTGCCATGTCATAGAGTTTTTGTGTTGTTTCATTAGAGTACTCTATTTTGCTAGTACATTACTGAACTATTGTAGTGCCTGGCAACCTTTGTGAACTGGTGGGACAGCGGTGCTGCTCTGCTCTTTCTACATGCACAGCTTCACGGGCACTTGATGGAAAAGAGCTGTAGTGGTTGGCTGTGAACATATCGGCGATTTGGTGTGCAACTCGTTCTTGCATACTGTGGCAAGAGTCCACCAGTAATGGAGCAGTGGTTATTATGCTCGACCACCAAGCCAAACGTTGCTGGTTTGATGTTGGCCATGGTGGTCACGTTTTGATAAAGGTGTAATGCTAGAGGCTTATGTGCTGTGCAATGTCAGTGCACACTAAAGAACACGACATTGTAAAAATTTCCGGAGCCCTCCACTGCACCATTTCTCATAATCATATTGTGGTTTTGGGATGCGAAACCCCAAATAATTCTGGGGCAAGAGGTCACTAAGACAAGTTTCACAATGATGGGCAAGCTTTGCGACTAAGTGCCTTGCAACTAGCTGCCTCTAATTCAAAATATGGTCCCCATGGTTGTGTACCCAGAAATTGGTTTACAGCTGCTGCTCGGTCAGACTGCATTCGGCAATGTATTGTGATGGTGCAAAAACAGACAAAATTTTTTAAACCTGCCGTAACATTTCTTGCACGCATGGCTACTGTTGGATTTGAAATATATTAATAGAAATTAGTTTCACGCTCGCTTGTACTGTCAGATTTTTCGTGCAACATGCTACAATGCCTTTCTATTGAGTGTGTTTGAAGCTGTGCATGTTGAGACGTCACTGTGTGTGTGCCACGCTGGCAGTGCCATCGTACGACTTGCAGCTGTGCATCAAGAGCTACAGCTTTTGCCTCAGCCTGTTTTCATAGAGTTTTTTAGAGGTGGTAATCACATTGATATGCATGTCTCACCCTGTGAGGTTCATAGATGATGGTTGTGCTGGGTGCAATCTGAACAAAAGGCGGTATGTGGCGTACGTTGAGAAAATGTCACATTTGTTGGATGTTTTTTTTTATTTAGTGGTTTTCTTGCTCCTTTATTGAGTCACATTTTATGTCTCGCATTACCATGACAATCTCATTTCCTGACCTTTAGTTTATCTCTAGGAGAGGGTGTGTTCACACACATGTTGCTTCAGTTTGTTAGCTGTGAATGTTTTTTAAACTGATGGGCCGTTATGTATTTCCCTAAGTATCATTGGGGCTGATGTAGTAGTATGCTTCAGTTAAGCCGAAAAAATTTTTTTTTGAAGTGCTGATAGTAAATGCTATTGTTCTATAATGGAAGTGTTTCCATTATCAAAATGGAAGAAATTCATGTAAAACTTAATTCAGTTTATAATGGAGCATTGGTGTTAAAGAGGTACAAAAAGAAATTTGAGATAGTGAACCCAGTGCTGTATATAATAACCAATTAGGTATTTAGGAACACTTCAGCACACCTTGCATTAATTACAGCTTAGATAGCCTTGGTGTATTCTGATATTTATTATGATGTTACACTTGCTTCAACACCAGCTCCTTCTTTATGTTACAATTAAAATGACTGTTAACTGGCATTTTTTGAATTCTTACTGTTTTATGCTTTCCACTCTTACTGTAAAAGTTCCCTAGACATGACACATGATAGCTAGTATACTGGCATGCAGATAATGGGTGAACTTTAAGATAAATGTCTATACTATGTGCTGTCTTTGTATTGCAAGGGCACTGTCACTAGTCTGGCATAGTTTAGTGTGTGAATTCAGTGTGAGCTGATATTGAGCTAAATTGGTCCTTTTCATCAGTCCTACGCATTAACTGATGACTTGCTTATTGGGCACTGCATTCGCTTAAGTGGCGTTTTCTCATTTTACTAGAGTATACAGTCTTGATATTTCGTTTTTCAATCCCAAAGGCTTTTTTAAATCATAAAAATGTTTAGTGATGGTTTGTGAAGTGTTTTATGATTTGAAATTGACATTCAGTACCTTCTGTTCTATGATAAACTAAAGGCATATAGGTATTCATTAGATATAATGTCCTTATGTCAGGAGGCTAAATATCTTCAAATTTCTTTAAAATAAAACTGTGGTTTATGCTGATCAGCCCTTATAAAAAAGCAAACCTTTTGGACCAAGCAAATGTGAGTGGCTCACAGGTGCTTATATGCATTTCACGTAGTACTTATAAGAGCTCGCGTGAAGGAATAGAATTGATGCAAACATGACTGCTGTGACATATGGCAAGAACTTGAATCAATGGAATCAAAGATGCTGCAGAGTTGCTCTATTTTTACCAGTTGCTGTATGTTGTGCTTACCTTGGTGCAGCCTAAATTGTATTGAGAGACTTTGTGCACAGTCACCTGTTATGACCGTGCTTTTTTGCATGATATGTTGATGTCTTCACTTTTGGTGGGTAGATGTTTCCTGTGAGGCTCATTGGTGGGACCATAGCTGGGCTTACGTTTAGCCTTTTCTTTTTTGGGAGAGTAGCAATGAGTGTGTTCTTGTGCCCAGCGCATTGCCATGACACTCTGCTCGCCAGTCCTGTGACGTTAGGACGTTAGAAAGGTGGTGTGTGTTCCGCTTTGGCAGTTCCTTTCTTTTTTACATATGTACGTGTACGCCACAAAACCACACACGCCTTGCCCAATAAAGTGCAGCTCGTGCTGGTGCTGAGTTAAGTCATGTTGTCAATTTTTTATTCTGTGGGGCAAATTGTACCATATATATTTAATGACAATAACTTCTTCCTGAAAATGTCAATGGGGTGTTGAACCATAATTCCAAGTTGTCATCGAAAGACCTCACCGTCAGAATTCATCCCATCGGGAGTTGGTTGCCTCGTAAATTACTCAAATCAGTCGATGAATCAATGAGTGTTATTCACCGCTTCAGTGTGTGCAGGGCATGGGAAGAAAAAGCTCTTGTGAGCTTGAGCAAGTTTTCTCGGCTGATCACAGTTCAGTATGCAGAAACTGCATGTATACAGTCATGCGAATAAATACGAGAGGGCATATATACATCATTCTCGCTCACGATCACCTAAGGAATGCGACAAGTACACGCAATTCAGTGAGTGAAAGGGCATATATACATCATTCTCGCTCACGATCACCTAAGGAATGCGACAAGTACACGCAATTCAGTGAGTGAAAAAAGGTCAGAAAAAAATAAGAAAAAACACTACATACAGTCGACTCTCATTAATTCAAACTCAGAGGGAGCTCTGAATTTTGTTTGATTTATCAAGAAGTTAAAATTACCAGAAGTTCTCAGATATATGACTCTGGGCAGGTTGACACCACACATTTTGATTAGGCATCAGTTTCATCACATTAAAAACTTGAAAGTGTTTTAAACTCTAACTGCACACAATGATCAAAAAGCAAAGGTGTAAAGTCAACAAGCTCATCGGGCATTTACTATGGATCAGACCTTTTAAAATTCATGCCAACTGCTTCCTTGCTATATATGCCTTCAGCACAAAGCTCTCTATACAATTTGAGAAACATTATAGTTTACCATGCGTGTGGTTCGGTTGAAGCGTTTTTTTACTAGCAATGCCTTTCTCCTTGAAAGCCTGAGCTGTTTATTTTTCATTTTTAGACTGTTAGAAATATAAACGTGCAAAAGCTTAAATAGTAGTGGGAAAGGAGCCGATATTTTTAGGTATGGAAGTGCAAAAGTATGAATTACCTGTATGATGGAGTTTGAATTAAGAGGCTTTTAATAAATACATTGAAAGATTAGAGGGCCAACCAAAAATTTAATTTCGTTAGAAATAATCGAAAGTATGAAATGTCGGAGTTTGAATTAAGGGGGCACACGGGTCTTTGGGGCCGAAAAATTGACCAAAAACGCATTTTCTTAGATGTCATTTTTGAAATCTACAGGTATTTTTCTATTAGTTTGCTCAGTTTTTCCTCCGAAAAGTTGGTACTTGAACAGTAACAGCTTCTTATAAAAGCCGTACGGGCCCGATTTGGTGAGATTCTGACGCCAAAATGGCAATTTTTCAATAATTCCCTGCCGCTGCGCCACGGGCAGTATCGCAGTGATCTAGGTCTCATTTGATAGCGCGGTCTTCGGTCTTCAATTTCCCGCCACTCTGGCTCCTGTCCGCTCATTGGTAGAGTAGAAAACACACGCCAGAAAAAGCAAAAATTCGCGTTCCTATTCGCCGGCGAGTGCACGTGACTAAACAGCGCAACGCGATTGGCTGCAAGCGGCGTGTGTAGTCTGCTTCGCGCCGTCGGCGGTGCAGTCAGGCGCCATATTGCTCAAACTGAGAACGACAGATTAGCCAAAGATCGCGCGCGATGTGGAAAGCCGGAAGGAAATTACACACAAGGAATCAGTACGGCAAAAAAAGAAAGAAGTCGCTCCTCGAGAACTTCAAAGGCCGTTCCGCGTCAGTGAGGAGCGCTGAACGAGCAAGCGACCCACCTTCCGTGGTCAGCGGCGAGGCCCCTGATAACATAGGCCTAGCACCTCCGCCGCCGCCCGCTCAAGATAACGCATCCGGCAGCGGCCGCGTTCGTCTTGACACAGCAGTGCTGCACCCGTTAGAAGTGGCAGAGATGCGTCGCAACGCCGAAAACAAGCTGCAAGAGCTCGCTTCAACTGGAGCAACACAACGCAAGTGCGGCCTGTTAGCCGATATCGACGATGCCGCAGCCACGCCGCTGGACGAAACACGATTTTTGATCGTGAGTTTGGACCAGGTGAACGAATTGATGCGTGCAGTGAAGTGCAAATTGTGCTCCGGTGATGTAAACATCGGTAAAGAGGACAGGGAGTACAGCCTTGCCGTAAAGCTAGTGCTTACGTGCGCGACCTGCGGCGATGTGTCGGTGGCATGGAGCTCGCCGCGCGTTGACGGCGAGAGCAAGGCAAAGCCGTTTGCCATCAATGTTTTAGGCATGCGCGCTATGCAGTCTACTGGCAATCAGCAAACGGCATTCAACGACGTTTTTTCATCGGTGAACATTTATTCGCGCGGCCTGCACAACAAAACGTGGCAGAGCTACGTGAAGACGAAACTGATGCCCGCAGCTGTTCGTGCGTCGGAAAAGCTGACCGCGGAGTGCGCGCGATCGGTTCGGGAACTGTACGCGGAACTGGACCTCGGCAACCCGGGCAACATCGCTGTGGGGTACGACGGTTCCTGGATGACGAGGGGACACTCGTCGCACATCGGAGTCGGCACAGTTATCGAGTTGTTTACGGGGCTTGTGCTCGATTATGTCGTGCTCTGCAATTTTTGTGCCGGCTGCGAGCGGGCGCCTAAAGAAAGTGACCCATCCTTCGACAAGTGGAAAGCGAACCACCACTGCCAGAAAAACAGCACAAAAAAAGCTGGAGAGATGGAAGTGGAAGCTGCCCTCATTCTGTTTCAGAGGTCGTGGGAGCGTCATAAGCTGAGATACACTACAGTTCTTTCTGATGGCGACTGCCGCACCTACCCTGCTTTGAAGGAAGCAGACGTGTATGGTTTTATAAAGGTAACCAAAAAGGAATGTGTGAACCACGTCCAGAAGAGGATGGGCACGCAACTGCACAATCTCCCCAAGCAGAGGCCAGCTGGCTCTGAGAGCCTCAGTGGTAGGGGGCGGCTGACTGGTGACCTGGTTAACAAATTGACCTCTTATTATGGCTGGGCCATCAAATCTCACAAAGGGGACGTGCCAGCCATGCACAATGCTGTGATGGCCACATACCACCATGTGACGTCCAACGATGATGTGTCCAACCACAGCCTGTGCCCTACAGGTCCTGACTCGTGGTGCCGCCAGAACGCTGCCAAGGCCAGGGGTGAGCCGGCCCCCAAACACCGCTACAACCTGCCGCCACATGTCTGTGAGGCCTTGCTTCCAGTGTACGAACGCTTGGCGGACAAGAAGCTGCTGGAGCGCTGCCAGCGAGGCAAGACTCAGAACAGTAATAAAAGTCTCCACTCTGTGATTTGGTCGCTGGCCCCGAAGGAGCGCCATGCATCACTGCACAGTGTAGAAGCTGCGGTCGCCGAGGCAGTGATGAGGTTTAATGCCGGAAGTCAAGTAACATCATCCAAGATCCTCAAAGAGCTGTGCTTGAACCCCGGCCTACTGAGTAGCAAACGCATGGCTGAAAAAGACCGCCGCCGAACCAGGGACTTTACCCTCAGGCGTGCGTCTGCAGAAAATGTGCAGCGGACGCTCAAGAAGCGGCACCTGGATGCCAGCAGTCAGGGGGACTATGCTTCTGGGGCCTACTAGTCATTTCGCTCCAAAAATGTACAGAATGTTTTACCGTTTACATTAAACATGGCACCATTGTGTTTTTTGCCATTTTCTCAGAATGCATATTTTTGACGTTTAGGAAATTCTTGAGAAGTGCATCTCGGCATGCGGTGCAGCTAGAAAGATAATTTCTTTTGCATTGTCAAGCTGAATGTTTAAACCTTGAAGTAAGGGAAACAGATCTTGCATTTCACGTTTAAATAATTATTTAATTAGCATTGTTTATAACTGGTTAGCAGGCATACTTTAAACCGAGAAATTAGAATTGATGTAAACTTGCATGTGTGATTGCCAGACAAAAAACTGCTTCCGTCATTTCATTCTCCACAACTTTTAGTATCTATTCATGCCGTGCTGGTAATTTTTTCTTGACTAGTTTTTTTTCTATTGTTCTCAAGAACAGAACAATCACGAAATATTTTTAATTATCACTGGGAACTAATTAGCTTACATCAAACTAGTTGGATATTTGAAATCGGCTAAAAAACTGAACAAGCCCATGGAGTTTCATTAAAATTGGCTGGAAAGCAAAAAAAAAAGTTTCCAAGACCAGTGTGCCCCCTTAACACGAGTTTACTGCACAGAGTTGAGGTTCATATCCGACATTTCATATATGAGCCCGGGAAGTCCACGCAGAATCGCTCTTTCACGTTGTGACTGAATTGTACGAGCGCGGTTCACTGTGTAGTGCTAGCAGACTACGAGTGCACTGCCGGCACCTCGTGGCTACGATTTCAGCTGATACAAATGGCCCTCTTGAGGAGGAGGAGAAGTATAAACGGCATTGGGTGAGTGAGTTCGGGTTCTTTATGAACCCAAGGCCATCACAAAACCATCAAATTGCGCTTGTATGTCCAGACCACGCAGGGCCAGGACACTGGCACCGTCCGAATCTTGTGACGCAAAGAAGGTCCCATTCAACCCAAGTTGTCATGGCGGGCTGCCCCTGCAGGGCAGGATCGGCAGGGCAGTCAAAGAGAGTGTATCATCATCTGGAAGCGACCTCAAACAAGCACTCTCCTCACGTCCTATCCCACTTCCGCTCTGTTTCTGCAGAGTGCACTTTCTGTGAAGAGTCACTCGCCACCCTACGCTGCTCTTGAATAGTATCGGCTCTTGGCTTAGGCTTGCTACCAGCCAGTGGCATTGCGCTAGCGGTCTGCATACCAGGCCCGTGTCCTCTCGCCCCTCCCACCAAAACTTTCTCACCATGGCACACACACTAAAAAAAAAAATCAAAAAGGTGCCTGCCCCTCTCTTGAAACATTTTTGTCTACGCCCCCTGCAACCTGCCATTCAACGTCTAACAGCAGCTGCCGGCAGCTACTAAGAGAGTAATCACATGCTTCTCTCTGAGCACCTGAGAAAATGGCAACTTCGCTGTCTGCTCTCCTTGCTGC